AATTTCAGATATTTGAGGTTGTGCTGAAAATAATGATACCAAACAAGGCAAGAAAAACATATTTTAAAGGTGAAATATAGAGGTAAAATCAAAAGTAGTCAAAAATGGCCAATTATACGCTGGACCCCAGAGTGTTAAAAGACTGAATTAGTCCTGCAGTTATTTTTCATTTTTCCTGTTGGACCCCAGATAATGATTTGGCTTTTTTAATTACAGCCAGACATCCAAAAACTTTAGCTTCATAATATACTGAAAAAAGTAACTGCACACTTACAGAATACCCAATCCGTTTTTGCTTCAAAGCAAATTCCTCCGGAAATATCAGGAATACAGATACATTAATAATGTGGTACAATTGTAAAGTAGTCCACTGTCATAAATCACTGGAGCTTTTTAAGCTGCAATAGAATATTTACCTCAATTAATATATAATAACTCACTGCCTTTTTTGCCAAAAGTTAAGGAGGTGTCTTTTGTGTGTACATCAGAGATAAATCTACAGCCAGGGATAGCTTACAGTGTAGAAATGGGAGACTGACTAACCTAGCTCACGCCAGATGTAACAAAATTACCCTATCAGTTATTCAGTGTATACCATAGTGTGTTTTTTGTCAGCTCTTTTACTTTTGTTGCTATGATACTGGATAGTCACAGAATAAAAGTGTCACTGCTTAACTGTTAGAGCCACAGTGAACAAAATGTTCCTCCAAACATTATTTTTCATATCAGCAATGTAGTTTACTTGCAACCCAGTATCGTGATAACCTCGAATTTCATTTGCTACATGTATGAATATTCAGAGGGCTGCACTATTGACTTCTACTTCATTAGAGTTTAGCATTTGTACAGCTAGGATGTAATAGCTGGTCAGTGTTGGTTACTTGGAAAACTGAGTACAAAGTGTTAGCATAAGTAGTGTTAGATTTCCCTGATAATACAAAAAAGCACTATCACGGTACTAAAACTAGCTTAAAATGTTGTCTGATAATAGTAATATATAAATAGAACGTGGAGCACAGAAATGTGAGAGGTAATATATTTTCAGTAATTTAGAAATGATGACTACCTTACATAGATTTATGTCATTGAGATCAGTACTCCTGATCAACACTGATCTTAATAAACATTTACTGAGATGAGCATATTAATACTGGGTGTAATTAATCTCCTTGTGTTGTCAAAGCAGCCCTAATTCTCTGTGACAAGGTCAAAGGATGCTGCTAATTTCTTTGAGGAATACAAATACAAATGATGAAATACAAACATTTGTGCAGGTTTTTCGCGCTGATGCTGTGAGCGCCTGTCTGCTGAGGACAGAGTTAGACTGTAACTGTAAACTCATTTTATCTGCAGGAACATAAACGAGTGCACCAGCCGGGCCCGTCACCCAGCTCCCAGAAGCCCAGAGTCTTCAGTTGTTCCTCCTGCGTAAAAGCCTTCGCCAAGCGCAGTCAGCTGGAGAGACACAATCGAACGCACACAGGTGACAAAACACTGTCGTTCATTATAGTTTAAAATCCCAAACCCTAATCTGACAGTAGATGTAAAAGGCTGAGATGGTTTGGACATGTTCAGAGGAGGGGTGGTAGATAAGAGGAAAGTGTAAGGTCTCCTGTTGTTTTAGAAATACAAACGACCGTGTATTTTCTTTAATATTAACATCATTTCAAATCTTGAAGACTTATTTATTTTTTGACATAATCGCCATTTTGGTCGATTTTTAAATGCTGTGACAGTTTTATAATACCCATGTCATACCCGCTTGCTGCCACTGCCGCAGAATCGCCTTCCGGACAAAAGTTCTTTCAACCTTGGGTACATGTTGTAGTCACTGGGTGCGAAGTCCGGATTGTAGGGTGGGTGGAGAGCGACAGTTTGACGGGCGACGTGTGGACACGCGGTGTCGTGGAGAATGCTTACGCACAGTGCGCAACTGTGTTTTGGGACCGAAAGGGGGTAATGTTGGTTGACTTTATGCTGTGGGGCCACAATAAATGCTGACAGGTACTGTGAAACACTGGAAAAACTCAGATGGGCATTTCAGAACTGGAGAACAGGAATACTGAGCAAGGG